TTTGGATGCACTAATATGGAAGATAATTGCTATTGTTGTTGTAGGGATAAATTGAATAAAACACCCTTTTGTATCTCTATATTAACAGGTCCAGACAAAGCAATACAAAACCTAAAATGTTTCTGCTATATTGTTGACCATGGAGTCGGACATGAGTAGATGTTTGTGTGCATGAGCACTAGATAATTAAAATCAAAAATAGCATTCTGAACCCCAGTGCCGGTTCTAGTCTTCTGGGGGTCCTAAGCAAAACGTTGTCCAGGAGCCCCTGTCAGAGGGTTCATAAAACCCCCAAAATGACCCCCAAACCCCTTAATCTGTTCTTTCAGAGCAATTTCACTGTCAACCAACAACAGTGACTAAAAAAAAAATCAATAATACAATAAAAAACAAATACAACATAAAAAAGATATGCATGAAATGAACAATTTAGCCGAGTTCTAATACTAGCCTACTATATAGAAATTGAATAATTAACTGTAAAAATAAAATAAAATAAATAGAACATTGCATAGTATGAATTACATATATATACATTGATTCTTATTAAAGTTTCTAATGCTGTTCAGTGAAGAGCAGTGAATCTCGTTCTCTCGTTTTCTTTTGTTTGATTAACAGTAATGACAGAGAGAGCAGCGGGTTTATTAGGCTGTCACTTTAAGACTGAATGCACAGACCTAATACACTGACAAACATTTGATTACTTTCCCAGCTGATATGTTCACTGAAGACATAACTGAATGCGTTTAAGTAAAAAAGTCCCTAAGATGGACATTTTGACATATTTTGTGTGTATTTGTCAAGTTAAGCGCACACCCGAAACCCAGAGTAGCCTGTACTTGTCCGTGTTTTTCTCCATCTCGGATCACGCGGACAAAAAGCCACGTTTAATACGCTTTTACACGTGACACGATTCGACTGATTTGGATGTTATGAACAGCTGACAGCGCACCGCTTTAAAGGAAAGGAATGGAAAGCAGCATCATGTTTTAATTAACGTTGAAAGCCGAAATCAAAAACGAAACTAAAGCACAGCCCTAAATCATTTTTGAGAGTAGGGGGCCCCCTGGTGGTTTGGGGGACCTACGCAACTTGCATACTGTGTGTACAGGGAGGACCGGCATTGCTGAACACAGTAAAACATGTAGACCTTACTACAAGAGTCATAAAATGGTCCATCTAATTAATGGAAATATCCTGTTAGTTTCTACTGCGCATTACACCCTTTCAGAGCTCCATAAGACCAGAGAGAGTAAAAGAGGAGGCCAGAGGAGCAAAGCAGCAGAGGGAAGCGCGGAAAGTCATTTGATTTATGAGAGCAGCACTTAAGACACAGAGGAGAAGATGTTATGCACCGCGGCTTCCAGCCTAGGAGCTAAAGTAATTTCCTCAACGGCAGGTACACGCTCAAGCGAACAAAGCTACAATCAAATTGCTTCACTGCACAGCCTAAAAACTCGTTTAATGTCATACTTATGCCTATTCTTCGGGTTTAGCGTGACACCCGAGTACTTTAGTCAGTAGATATTGAAGCAGGTGTCTGTCATGTGGCCCCAAGGGTCTCTGAGTTTCTATCTGCTCATATCCATGCCGTCTGCAATATAACCCTCGTCTGCATCACACTCATCCGAGGAAACCCAGCGGCTCCGGTGAGACCTCCATGATGTATGTTGTGTTATTTCTTCAGTCAATCAGGGATCAAACACTGAAAATGAGTGATGAATCAGCTGCCATCAAAACATCCTTAAACACCCACATGAGGAATAAATACTCTCATCTGCAGATGACTCAGGTTCTGGAAGTTCTGATTCAAGCCTAGTTTCAAGAGCTTTTTAATCACAGAGGCGTGGTATTTATTCTTCATCACAGCTAAATGCACTGTGAAGAAGAGTTTGTTGTCCTTTTGAAGTTTAAATTTATGTGCTTGCTTATGTTTCGGGGCCCAATGCACCCGGACTGGTTTAACCTCGGACACCTGTGGAGAACCTGCTAGGTGAAGGTGAGTGTGTTGATTTGAAACACAGTTCAACGTAATGGGACTTTTGAGGACAGATAAATGTGCATGTCCTGGAGGGGGTTTGAGTTATTGTGAGGAAGAGTGGCAGGGGGTTGATGAAGGTCAAATGGGACAAGGGTCTGGCTGAAATCACAGGCCAGCCCTGCTGATCCCCAGCTAGACCAGCCCTGACCAAAATGTAATTCATGCTGGTTTAAGCTGGATTTTCAGCAGGGACTGATGCTGGAGGCTCAACGATTGTGGTCCGAACAAACTTCCTTTCAGAAATCCTCATTCTTTTTTTCTTTTGCAGCTGCATTCGATGTGGGATGTGGGGTTATTCATACTTGATGATAACGCTGGTTTCCGACCATAAAGGTGCTCCATTGCCTGGAATGATGCTTTGCAGTGATACCTTTGGTTCGCAGGTGTGTAATTATAAACATAATGTTCCGTCTTTTACTCACCAATCTCTGCAAACGTTTGCTGAACAGGTTTAAACATCATGTAATGTTGGAACTTTGACTCATTTATGCAGGTTTATGCTTAAAAGTGACTGTTTAGCATTAAATCTCTCTGGGTGACACAATGTTAAAGGAGAACTCCGGCGCAAAATGAACCTTTGGTCTAATTACACATTGTTACCTAGTCAACCGTTATCTGAGATTTGTTTTCATGATTATCGAATGTAAAGAGTTTTATCTCTAAAAACAGTTTAGCCTATAAAGCTAGTATAACGCTAGTATATTGGGCATAGTGTAATGACAAATAAAAATCGCTTGTTAATACCACTAACAAGGCTGAAAATAGCCCCACACTAACACGGTAGCATAATGAGGGTCCCTACCTTCAAACCGAAGCATTGAGAACTTTGTCAGTGTCCAGACAGTTTAATAAGAAGATATTTAATACATACAGTCAACTTCGCGTATACAGGCAGAAGCCATCTTTGAAATACAGTCTTTACCAGTCGATCTACGAACGCCGATCCAAGTGCGCTGGTGAGAATGTGAACGAGCTATAAGTTGTGATAAGGTGAGCGCGAACAGCAGGCTTGGATCGGCGTTCGTAGATCGACTGGTAAAGACTGTATTTCAAAGATGGCTTCTGCCTGTATACGCGAAGTTGACTGTATGTTTAAAATATCTTCTTATTAAACTGTCTGGACACTGACAAAGTTCTCAATGCTTCGGTTTGAAGGTAGGGACCCTCATTATGCTACCGTGCTAGTGTGGGGCTATTTTGAGCCTTGTTAGTGGTATTAACAAGCGATTTTTATTTGTCATTACACTATGCCCAATATACTAGCGTTATACTAGCTTTATAGGCTAAACTGTTTGTAGAGATAAAACTATTTACATTCGATAATCATGAAAACAAATCTCAGATAACGGTTGACTAGGTAACAATGTGTAATTAGACCAAAGGTTCATTTTGCGCCGGAGTTCTCCTTTAATGGGACATCATGCATCATGTTGGCAAAATGAAGGTTTCATAGGGTCTGTAGGCCTCTTTCTGTGCTATCATTCAGCAAAATGGTGACTCTGATTTAGGATTTTACCCTGACTTCACACATAATTCTGAGCAACATAAATCAGGTTGGAAATATTAATTTAACTGTGATGGAGTTGTACAAAAATAAAAATGGCATAAAAATAAGTAGTGTTTTGGAAACATTTCTTCTCCAGTTTTATGGTTTAATTTGGCACATGGCACAATCAGCATGTATACATCTGGTATACATAAATAAATATTAAATATATTTATACATAAATATACATATAGAGCTATTAAAAAGACACTTGTTGTGGCCTCAGATTATGGTGTCGAGGATAAAACTAATACAGACACTCTGCTCTGCCCTCTGAATATGGGTGCTTTCAGCCTAATAATTGATAATAATGGTCATTTACACTTTCAGGTCAATGGGAGCAAAATCTTCATAAAAGCCCTATACATATATGTATGTATGCCCATATTTATATATATATTTAAAGAAAGACAGTTCTACACCGTGGTTATTCAGTGTAAAGAGGCCACTGTCTCCAGTCAAGAGGAACGCTTACAAAGTCAATGGAATCATGTCAGTTAGTTCAGTTCAATCTTAAGCTATTGTTTTCTCTTGCATGTAAAATAATAGATTTATTTTGTAATTCTTAAGCAAAATTAGACATATGTAACTTTTTTTAAAATAACAAAAAGTTCTATTTCGCAAAGACAGACGACAATAGACGCAGTTGAAAGACTACTTGTGGTGAACAAAATCAACGCAGTGGTAAATAAGCCCCCCCCCCCCCCCCCCACCCACCCTCATCACACAAATATTTAACAAAAAAACATGGCAAAAGGTAATCAAACACGCGCGCACGCACACACACACACACAGACTCAAATATTCCCGATCGTACCCATAATCACTCACACATGCACACCAGTCAAACAATGCTCTGAGCGTTGTGTGTAAGTGTGCATTTCATGGGAATTTGACGCAGGAGCTGATAGATAATTTTGTTGTAAAAGATGCACTTCTTTAAACAAAAACAATTACAGTAACTTTAGAAGTCTTTATCTCCAGTGTTGTCGTGTGGAAAAGTTCCAAACAAAAGATTTTCAGTGTAACCAAGAAGAAAAAAAGTAAAAACCACATGTGAGGTTATGCAACTGGAAAATTAGTTGCAGTTACCGTTTCAATCCACCGGTTTCCATATTAGTCATCTGTCTCAGGCTTCCTAAAATCCAACCACTCAAGTCAGATCACTATGTTCCACACAAACTCATCTCAGGGAAAGATCGTCAAATTAAGAGAAAACAGCTCTTTATAAGGCATTGAAAAGAAATCGAAAAGCAAAGCAAACAATATTATGCAGATGTCACCTTAGAGGCCACAGTTTTGAAACGTGTTTCCCACAAAAGACTGTGATGGGAAATAAAATGCACTTTCCTTTTTTTTTTTTTTTTTTTTTGTTATTTATTCAAGAAAAAAAATCGATCACCCCATTCGCCCGTTTCTGTTTAGAAAGGCGTTTTTTTTCTTTTCTTTTAAAACGATGATTAGAAAAAATACTGCTTGAAACGCTCGTCCCTTTTCGAAGGAAAGAGAGCAGTTCTGTTTTGGCAGGTTTGCACAACTTGACATCTGGAAAGAACTTGTCACTGCTTTTTGCAAAAGTCTATTCAAATCATTTTGTTTCTGTCATCATCCTGAATCCCCTTCTCTCGCTGTGACGCTTTCATTAAAACCAATGACTTTTCCCCCATCCCTCCCTTTGCTGGATCTCCATAAAGCTATACACGCGTGGTGGAGTGGGAATGTGGCAGGCCGGTGGAGTTGAAGCCGGCTGTGAAGGTGTTGTACGGATGTAGGTTCGGCATGCCCACTAGCGAGTTGGGGATCATGGTTATGGTGTTTGGCGTCATGAGCGGGATATCGTCAGGCGAGCGCCGCAGAGTCAGCGTGTAGTCGGGAAGTGAAGCGAGCCGCAGCGGGTCACCGGGAGGTCCTGCGTCGCACTCGTGGTGTGTCTGGTTCACCTGCAAAGACATGATCTCCTCTTCAGGGCCGTGGCGGTTCACGTCATTGGCGGTGGTGGCTCGTGGTGAGCTGGGTTGTGGGTGCTGTTCCTGCCGGCGCTTATCCTTGCGGTAGTACAGAGCGGCAAACGCCAGAACATTGAGGAACAGCAGTGAAGCTCCTACTGCGATGGTTACGCTCAGCTCGGTGGAATAATCCCGTGGGTTCTCCACCACCAGAGGGCCTGGTTCCTCTTCCCCGTTCCATTGTTCCTTCCCACTCTCGCTGTTGTACGCTGGAGACATTGGTGGCCGCTTGGTGTTGAACGGCCAGGCTTTGCCATTGGGACGTTTGGTGGACAGGGAATTCTGAGTCGTCTCGGGTGGTGGCACTTTGGTGGTGGTGGAGGTGTAGTGGAACATGTCGTGCAGGTTGTACAGATGAGGGACCAGGTGCTTCCAGAATGCCACTTTGGTGGCACGGTAGTGATCACGGACTCGTGGCTTTAGGCCAATGTGCAGGTACAGCTGATCTTGGGGATTGTATTTGGACCAAGCCACCTCTTCAAAACGATTGGCCTTAGTATGGATAAACTTGGTATCCTGAGGCACTGGTTTGTTGGGATCTCTGCAAAACAAATAAAAGCTAAATTAATAAATGGCACTGAGATGGTTTTTAATTTAAGGCATGGTTGCTAGAATTTAAGGAATAGTTCCAAACCCATATTATTATTTTTTTCATGGAATGCAAAATAAGTTGTTTTGCAGAATGCTTATGGTGCTCTTTTTTTCAGTGAACGCATGCAGTGACTAAGGTACCATTAAGTCTTTTTGCTTGTTCTTGCATCGTAAATCTCTTGACAAACTAAAAGACATAAATGACATTTGTATGTATTCTAAATTAAAGATATAGATTGTACTGAATGTCAGCTTGCTTATTTGGCTCAAGATAAGGATTCATTAAGTCCACGTGCCATGCAAACAATAACTATGCTTCTAACCACAGGTCGAGAGCTGTCGTTTCAACTACACAACTTTGCGATGCTGTTTGCGAATGTTCGTTGTCCAATGGTTCTGGGAAACACCGACTCATGAACTATGCTGATAAGTGATTACGTTGCACAAGTGCCCAGTACAGGCGGAACCCTTGCGATGTTTTAATGGAACGCCTTAAACCAGGGATGGGCAACTTCGGTCCTGGAGGGCCACAGTCCTACAGAGTTTAGCTCCAACCCTGAAAAAATCATCTGCCTGTAACTTTCTAGTAATCCTGAAGACCTTGATTAGCTTGTTCAGGTGTGTTTGATTAGGGTTGAAGCTAAACTCTGTAGGACAGTGGCCCTCCAGGACCGAAGTTGCCCATCCCTACCTTAAACCCTTGATCACTTGTGGGTAAATTAAGTGCGAGAAATGCGATTTGTTGTTGTGATGTCAAAATCTTGTTGTATTGTGGTCTATGGATCTGCCTGAAATGTACATATGAGTAGACTCGCTCCCTCTGTCAAAGTTGGGGGGTCAAGGGTTTGTCCAAATAAAATTCCCTTGTCCAAAGTTGAATGCACTTCAAAATTGCAGCGGGGATTTCCACGTGGGGAAGTGCTTAGAGAAGTTTGTGAATATATGTCTAAAAGTGGATACTCTATCTCTAAGGCAGGGGTGTCCAATCCTGTTCCCGGAGGGCCAATATCCTCCAGGGTTTCGCTTCAACTCTTATTAAACACACCTGAAGCAGCTAATCAAGGTGTTCAGGATTACTAGAAATTTTCAGGCAAGTGTCTTGGGTAAAATCGCTAAAATCGGCAGGATATTGACCCCTCCAGGAGCAGGATTAGAGGAGTTTTAAGGAGACTGACTCTCTTAGAAAAAGTTGTGTTGGATAAAGTTATCCGCTTCTTAATATCATCATTATCATAGTGTACAATCTTTAACGTTAATGAAAATCAGCATGCTTCATTCTTGTCCACCCTTCCTTTTTATTTTCTCTTTTCAGCGAAACACTACCTTTATTCTTGGTCAGTCTAAGCACGCATAAAGACACAAAGAGGTTGCGCCCTTTCTCAGATCAACCCCTGGAGTTTACGCCAATCAACAAAACAATTTACATCCATAGACATTCCTCATCATAACTGCACTCCTATCGGTCTTGTTGCAACTTCTTGTTGTATAAAGATACCAGGTACTTCTTCCAAATCATAATTTTCTATTTCTCCCTCATGCGACATTACGCTACAGCTCATATCTCTAAGCACCTCTGCCTGCTGGGCTTCACGCATCCTCGGCTCATTCTGTATAAAAAAGAGATGTGCCAGAGGCTTTTAAAGTGAAACAAATGAATAAATCAACAGCTAAGATGTGCTTCAGGATGCAACTTGTTTTTGATAAAACAACAGCAGTGCATCCATTTCGTTAATTGCTTTGGGAAAGCAGTGCAGATTGCATTAACAGCGAGTGTGCTGATAGAAAGTGGACCATATTAATCTGAATGTTAAAGGGGGGATGCTGGCAAAGGCCCTGTGTGTGCGTTGTACTTAGCCTCTGGGGGTCACTGTTTCTCCAACTGGCATTACAAGCTCAATAAGGCAAAGCAAGGTGGGATCCAGCCTCTGTGGCACTAGTGATTTATCGTCTGTTTTCACATATGCCATGTAAATAATCACACATCTACTTATCTTGTAGCTCCAGTAGTGACTATGCTGAATTTTTAAGAGATATTCAAAGTGGTAAAACATACACTATGATATAGCCTAATGAAATACTTGGTTGCAAAACATATGATTTCATCAGAAATACACTTTTGTATGAACATCAATAGAGAAATATGCTTTATGCTGCCACATGGCTTAGTTTAACAACCAGGGGCTAAGAGGGTCATGCTAACCAGCCAAACCTTGACCCCTCATCTGTGATAAAATACCGCAAGATAAGGCTGTACCAATAGTGCAGACTTGATCTAATAAAGAGACAACCATGATATAAACGGTAACAGGTAACAGGTAGGATGGTCCCTGTCACTAATGTTCTGTAACTCACAGTGCATGACAAGTGACGACAAGTCAAGAAAGATGTTGTTTAATATTGTCTGCCAGTGGTTCTGAAACCTTTTAAGCCAAGTACTACTTTTGCATTATCTGAGCAAGAGTCCTATCAGAAAATACACATACAACCTATAAAAACATTCGGAAAGGAAAACATTGTAATTCTATGTGTTATTTTTCAAATGTTGCAGTTCAATTCAAACACATTAATATTAAATAGATTTTAAAATTTGATCGTAAAACTTCCCCCGTATGTCTAGAACTGCTCTGACAAAGTGGTTTGGTTATATTATCAAAATCATGTTTGAAACATTGTGCTTGACCTGAATGAAATCGAGCATCTTAATGCCGCTCCAGACTCAGGATAAACAGGACAATTTCTGGCCTTTTGTTGTCTGCACTGCAGAATTCCTCTCTTGTGCAGTATTACATTGTTATGTGCGCACCGATCGGCCGCTAGAGCAGCTACAACTCTTGGATTGCAGAAGAGTCTTAGATGCACAAAGCTATATTAAAATTTAGGGGTGTAGTGGTACGTATTCGTCACCGTACAGACGTCACGGTACGATGCATACAGTCAGACAACCAATACAGTGAGTCACAGGCGATCCACACTCCAATTCAGAAGGGGGCATGCGGTAATGCAACGCTGTTTGCTAACCACCACATAAAGAAAAAGAGCAGAAGAAGTTGATGATCTACATATCAACCCAAAACAAGAGTTCAGATGGCCCTCAAGAGCTTGCTAGAAGCCTATACGCTGAGTTTCAATTATTTTTTTGTGATGCGCTCCACAAACTTCACAGAAAGGACACCGGGATGACAGAAAGCGGCATCCTGTTTTTTCTTTATTTTACAAAAGCACAATTTTTTGTTTTATTGTGAGTGTATACAGATAAAAACAGACTATTTACAGTTTGTACAGAATGATGTCTTACTCTTGTCTCTATGACATAAATGACGGAGTATTTTATGTTGTGTCCGCTCTTATAATGAGACAAAATCATTTGGCATTGTGCCGATTTGTGTCGTGGAAGTCTCACTACAGTCCAGTGATGAAATATGCATGTCCTGGAAATGAGAGAAAAACTCAGGTGCCGCTTCACTCACTCTCTCCTCGTGGAAAGGTGAAGTAGACTCAGATGTAGATGGGACTTTTTCTCCTTCTCGCTCATCTTTCCGTGATTTCATGAAAAAGTTTAATATTGAAGTTTGTGCATCCGGGATTGTCACCACATGTTAATAAACTCACACACAAAGGAAAGGACTTATATATAAATTAAAAAAAATGATACGTGTCGTGTTTAGCGTGTCATGTACAACCGATTGGAAAGCCACTGGTCTATGCTGTGACACCTGTCCAAAAGAGCATGTGCATCTGAGAGGACAGAAAAACCGAGCTTTAAAGAGAAATCACACACTTTCATGTTTTTTGTGCTCCCCCCCCCTCCCTTGTCTGAGGTAAATGGAAATAGGTTGAATGTCAGCTCAGCAGCCGATAAATAACTGGTTTTATTAGGCTGGTAATGATCCCCAATGAATATTGGCAGCCGGAGCATGATGACTTTGTAGCTGAATATCAGTAATTAAGTTTCAAAGAAGCAGGCAGCAGAGGTAAGGTCATATTGATCTGCCACGGCGCAACATGCCAGAGAACAGGACATCAATGAATCCGCATCCGCGCAGCATATATGAATTCCTGCTGCGTGGCATGCAAGTCGCAGTCGGTGTACCTGGGGCATTCGCAGTTAATAGGAAACGCTAGCATCTCAATATCACCATGCATTCTCATAATTGTCAATCAAGCAGTTTGCATGACACAGCATACTTGTGCAGAGGCTGGGTTTGCAATGCCACTGACTGGGGATTGGAGGTCAGTTGTGATGCTTTGTATGTGTTCGCCGAGTCTATTGATCTGCAGCGATGACATATTTTGTGTGGGTGTTTCACACGTAAGGGTTTAGCTCGAGATATACTGTGTTGATGTATGTGAGGATTGAATAATTAGTGATGTTGGCCTTTAGAATTAGCACTCACACTTAAAGGGGTCATGAAATGCATTTTCAGATATTTTATGTCTTTTATGTCTATTAATGATATTTTCAGGCAGACTGTCAGCACTATTAATTGCAGGTGATCAAATAAGATTCCCGTGGTTTCCGTCCCCTGTTTTGACGTTATCATTGCGTGTCGCATTTAGAGTGATGCAAAAGACAATTTGAAATCTGATTTGAGCAGCCAGCCGTTATATTTCTGGAGGTTAGCAAATGAAGTTTGCATCAAAAAAAGTTCAAATATTTGTGATCTGATCATCCACCATAATGTGGTTGCTATTAACATCTCATACGTCTGTAAACGACTGACGCATTTGTATGACATTTCAAAGTGCTCCGTTATCAGAACCACAGTGAAGAATGAAACCATATCTGTACCGGCTGGGCTCGATCGATACAGAATAGAACGGTGAAGCAACGAGAGCGGTTTGGCCCGACTGTGAAAAAAAGCAGCTTTTGTCTACATTAAGGTTACAGTAAAAAATGTCAGATGGTCTTACTCGTCTTTACATACGCATGTTAAAGGAGAACTCCGACGC